CCCGCACAGCGGGATTTCATTCCACAGTGCCACGCGAAAAGGCGCAGAATCGATATCAGATGGGATAACTGGGATGGACAGGGCAACATTTAAGCATAAAACAACCCTACCAACTCTCCCTCTATTTAAGTCAGCTCGAAAAACTGATTAACCGTCGATGGAAATCTCGAGATCAGAAACATCTGGTGTGAATCAGGTCTCCCTGAGTGCGATTATGGACGGCTGTTCAAGCCAAAATGACTTTAATATCGCGAAGTTTTTGGAATGGCTGAGGCAGTTTGAACTCAAGCATTTCAACACCGTCTCTGCTGCCTTCAAAGGCGGGAAGCCGGGACGTGTGCAACCAGAGAAGTTACCAAATTTAATAGCTGTACGTCGGGGTTGACGTCAAGGTTCTGGAGGGGGCTCTGCGGTATGCTTGCCTGCCTTCTGTTTTGGTGGTTTCACGGACTGGTTTTAATTTACAGGGTTTTCTTCGTCTCGTGGAAGCCCAGTTTATGCAGACTTTCTACCTTTAGTACGTGGTGCTTCCTCTAAGAATGGGATCGGCTGAAGTGGCGCCAAGTGAAAGCCTATTTCACATCTTCCCTAGAACTACTTGGCCTAGCGTTTGTGTCTCTAAATGTCAATCTTCAGATATGCGCCCGATCGTTGGGTAGACTCTTTGAATGGTGACAGTCTGCTCCAAGGTATTCTGTACGGCCGACTGGAAGGAGAGCGACTAGAATCCCAAGTTTTTGCTCGGCCCCTTTTTGGGGTAACCGATGTGCGTGGGGCGATTCGTGGTCAGGCTTTGTGAGGACACTACCAAGTTGCGACCGCGCCTGCTTCTTTGGCTCAGGGTAGAAACTTCATTATCGACTTTCGTCCAGGTTGCTGTGTTATCTTGTTAACGTCCTCTACGGCCTTGAAAAATGCGTTGTTTTTGCGTCGAGTGTAGTGAATAAAGTGCAGCATTAACATCGGAATTTTCGATTTAGTAAACAGAACCTGGTTTTGTTTTTATTGGCTCTCCTTTTAGTTGTGGACTTCATTGCACCACTTTAAGGTAGAGCCAGCTGCTGGAGACAAACGATTCAGAAGAGTCGGCTAGTTGGCTGACCTGGTCATCCTATAAACCCATGCATTCAAAGTTCCACGGGGCCTTGCCTGCGTGCCATTGTATACTACGTCTTACATTCGACTGAAACCCATTTCGTCTACATCTGCTGTGGTCCTTTGGGAGAGCAGCCTGAATTGACTTTAGTTATGATTGAGAATGTGCGCAAACTGGCAGAGAATATCGGGCCATGGCTGTTAGAATGAAAAAATAACAAGTGACATGTGTGAACTCTGCAAATAGACTAAATGGTGAAAGATTTGGTTCACAAATTTGCGCTAGCAAAAAGTGAAACCAGTTTCGAACGTCCCGGGACTAGTAACTAAGGGATTTGGAATCCTTGAGGGGAAAAAACAAAGAACTTCATTCAGGACTATAGGCACAACTCTGGCGCACATACGAAATTTGGGACTGAACCGTTAGTGGCCGCTTGCGTATGTTTTGGAGGACCTGAAATCTCACAGTGGCTGAAGGTTTTATCGTTGGTTTCAAAGCTGCGTGACAAGCATGCTCGTGTTTATGGACAGCTTAACCCAAGCCAAGGACGAAGGACTCATATCGAATGCCATATTTTTCGACTTCTCAAAAGCATTTGATAGGGTCCCACACGTCCCGCTGCTCCACAAACTCGAGTCTTACGGGATTCAAGGGAAAATCTTTCGCTGGATCAAGGCGTTCCTATCAGACAGATCATTCCGAGTGAGAATAGGCTCGACCTACTCCTCCCAGCGCCGGTCCCCATTGGAGTTCATCAAGGCTCCGTCTTGGGACCACTCCTGTTTCTGATCTACGTCTGGGAGGTCGTTGACGTAGATCAGAAACCATGT